GGGCTATTTCACCGATTCAAGTCAATCATAATAATTAAGACAATTTTGCCATCCTGGGGCTCTAAGTGAATACTTTGAGCAAAATGGAGGTCAGATTCGTGATCAGCGGATACGACTCCATCATATACGACCTTTCATGTGTCAAGGTCAACCAAAGGTCATTCGAAGTCACATAAGGTCAACATAAAACTTGAAGAAAATATGTGTCATTCTACACCGGTCCCGTAGCTCAGTCGGCAGAGCGTTGGACTCCGCGTGGTGAGAGCACGCGTTCCCGGTTTAACAGTCCGGGTTCGAAGCGCGACCGGCGCTTGACGTTTATGGGCCTCCTGACAGGTATGGTTGCGGTAGGTAGCAGGCCGTAGACAGGCGAAGTCAGTGAGGGGACGCTGAGCCGCGCACGGCAGATGGCCGTGCGCGGCTAAGTGCGCACGTTAAACTTCGGACTCCAAATTCTGTAACAGTCCATAGAACCGGAATCGCGCGAACGGAGAGTAGAGGGCAGGGTCAATGCAACAAGCTCCGCTTAGCGGGACTCTGTCCTTGTGAATCCTTCCATTCAAAAGGTTCGGACTAAATTCATTAAAAATTCGACGCGGATTGACAAGACGAATGCGTTGGTACCACTTCCGTAGCTCTAGAACCATTTTTGTTGTAGTTATTTACGAAAACTGAAGCCCCAGCTGAGGGTCGTTGACCTGACCTTTGACCTCAGGTCACCCAAACTGAAGTTGTATTTTTGCTAGATCGAACGCTACACAACCGTGCTCGTAATTTGTCTTTATCTCTAAAACTATTGTTGGCAGCTATTTGGAGTTCACGTTTATTGACGCCGATGTTTGCCGTGCATGGGTCTAGAAAAAAATCGACCCTGTGACGTCAACAAGGGGGCTAGGTCCAATTTTTTTGCAGAAGATGTCAAATTGATGGGGGAACAGGTACTGAAAGTTTCGCTTTCTTATCCCTAAGCGTTCGGGAGCTATCGCCAATATTCGCGAGAGGGGAAGCGCCCCCCCCCCCCCGGGCCCGCGAGGGTTAATTGAGCCCTCCCCCGCAAGTGATGCGTAGCGAAATACCTCAGCAACAGCCGGGTTAGGGTATGGCAGAAGACCAGAAGTAGTACGTGTTTAAAACTATTCAGCTTCCTCCCCCCCCCAAAAAAAGACATATAGTTATTTCAATGTTATACAGTACGGTGGTTGGAATAGCAAAAAGCAGCATTACCCCTCCCTAGGCACCACAAAAACACGGCATGCTCCTGCTGTGTAGAGACGCTGGCGACAAGCGCTCCAGCTGTCAGCTCTGCGGCGTCTGCAGTCGACGCGATAAAATCGGCAGACAACAGCCCCGGTTTGACATGTCTCCCCTTCTAGCACACTTGTTGCGGGGTTGAAAGTCATTCAAGTTTGATGAGCGCCCCATGCACACGTGTTTGAGTTGAAGAAATTCCTTTCACGAGTTATCCACAAGTGTTGAATGGAGCGAGGTTGACGCGAGCCAGCTCCTCACCACAGTTGGCCCGCCTGAAAATCACTTTCCACTTTATTTGAAGTTCTGGTGGCGTCTGAGCCGGTTCTAACTCAAGCTGCAGTTGCTGAAATCTCCCCTCTATGGCTGCAGCTTTCTGAGACGTAAGTAGCTGAAAAGCCGGAGCTGGACTTTATGCCAGGTGAAGCTGAGATGGGACGCTGCCTGACGCTCTTTAGTTTCATACATTTTCACTGAATGTCTTACTTAAACCTTCTCTCGAATATTACCCACAAGTCGTCCAGAGTATCTACACATATCTATCATCTGAGCTTGGTGACACTTATATCAATCTCGATTATTTTGCGCTGTAACCACAGAACATAAGATTCGCGTTCATAGAGTGATAACTGCCAAGTTTATTCGCAACAACGCAGAACGACTAAAATGTAAACTAGCATAATAGCTCGCATATCTAGCCGGCATTTTAGCCAAAAATTCACAAATAAATCGTTTGTATGATTACTGATCTTAAGCATCCAATAACTTAGACATTTACAATGCCTTATCAATTGATCAATATGCCATGAATGACAAGGCTGTGACTGACAGCTGTTCTTATAAGAACAGCGTACTTTGGATCAGCCTTCCAAAAGTGCTGGAATAGAGAAGTGGTAATGCCATTGGTGAAAGGATATCTATCGATTCTGCAAACGTTTCGTTTATAGATGTACTGCCATTTGTAGGCTTTCAAAACGTAAGAGCAGCTGAACGAGGCTGTCATCTTTGATGATTTCCTTAAGACAAGGACTAAACGAGATGATGAACTACAAGTTTTTCCCTCGGTTTGAAAAAGTTGGAGTTCAATTTGGAAAAAAATGCACTTCAATCTGAAAAAGACAAAATTCAATTTGACATTAGTGAATTTCAATATAAAAATTGGAATTCAATTTGAAAGAAATGAAATTCAAACTAAAATGCTTGACGTCGTTTTGAAACTTGTCAGGGAAGGATAATAGTAGATACGATTGCAATTTATTTGTGCCCATAAGCACTGTTGCATCCATGCTCATACTTATTGCTCACTGTTGCTCATTGCTCGTATTCATGAGACATTAGAGGAAAATTAAGACGCATAGAGCAGAAGGAACCGATGACTTTAACCTCGCCGGTCGCATCATCGTTATTTGACATGTAAGTGCATGAGCTTAATGGAAATATGAGATCACCTAACAACAATTTGCTTCAAATTTCAATCAATTTAAAGCATCTTGAAAAAATGAGCGTATTCGCTGAAACGAGACGTCTTACGTGTGGCGTCATAGGCCATTCACCTTACCTGACCTAAAAAAAACGGGCAGTGCAAAAGATCCCACTTTGAATCAAAGGACATATGTTATATGTGGCCAATCTCTATCCAGGGTTATATGGATCTATGTTCTATGCAGGGGCCCGGGAACGATTTTCAAGTTGGGGGGGCGAGCCTAAAATACCTGATATGATGCATATGAAACAGTGGCGTAGCTAGGGGTCTAAGGGGACACGTCCCCCCTCCCCCATCGGGTTCAAAGGGACCTTCGGGTCCGAGGGGCCGTGCGGCGCCATTTGACCGCTGAAGGTCAAACCGCTGACCGCCCCATGGGGCTCGTTAGAGCACCTCATGGGCCCTAAATAGCCACACTAAGATCTCCATAAGGGCCCCACGCCGGCTTCTGAGCGCCTCTTGCGCCTTTTTAGGGCACCTCGGTGGTCTCCAAAGGCCCGTTACTGGCCTCTGAGAGTCCTTACCGGCCTATGAGGGGCCAGTTCTAGGGGCATTTGCCGCCTGTGATGGTCCCACACTTATTTTTCTGAGGGCCCCATAACGGCAACTTTGGGGCCCTCATCGGCGCCTATGAGGGCCCACACCGGTGTCTCTGAGGGTTTCACACCCCGAACTCTGAGTGCCTACACCAGTGCCTATTAAAATTAAGCCCTGTATCGGCGGCTCTGAGGACCCAACCAACACCTGTGCATCTGAAGGCCACACACTGGTGACTTTTGAGGGTCCCACACCGGTGAGTCTGAGGGCCCCACCGGCGTCTGACAGTACCATGCCGATCTCTAAGGACCCCACAGGACTTCTTCTGCCGGCCTAAGGACCCCTTGCCGGTCACTGAGACCCCCTGCCGGCTTGTAGAGAGTTCGCGTCAGCAGATCTAAAACCCCCACACCCGTCTGTAACGGCTCCACACCATGGCGTCTATGAGGGCCCACAGCAACGCCTGTAAGGACCCTCATCGGCACCTCTGAGAGAATCACACTAGCACCTCTGAGCGCCCACACCGGCACCTGCATGACGGCCCCACACCGGTGCCTCTAAAGGCCCCTTACCGGCGGCTCTGAGCGCCCTACGCCGGTGATTCTGAGGGTGCTGCCGATAACCGAAGGCACCACATAAGCCCTTAGTGTCGCTGAGCTTTAATCCCATACCGGCCCTCTAATGTATCCCATGCATCCCATCCCATACCGAGGGCGCCACGTCAGTGCACTCATTGCCCCACACCCCTCCCTCACACCCGGAGCGGGTAAACTGTGTTATTCCTATAGCAACGATTTTACCACCGTTGTACGTTATGCATTTCTCAAAGTTGACTCAAAATTGTCCAGTATAAAACTGGCCTGCCAAGCTTATGGCCAAGGTCAGGCCCAAATCAAAGCGGGATGACAATAGCAGATGTTGTCAAATCGATGCTGTATCAGCAGAAACCATTCAGATGGCAACGAAAATGCCGTGTGTCGTTGTTTAGATGTATAAAGGAAACAAGAAAGAAAGAAGTCCGGAAAAGGGAGGAAAGATCTTTTTCTCGCTGCCTCAATGTTGAGGGGGCGCCGCCCCCTCGGCTCCCAAGTTGGGGGGGCAAGCGCCCCCGCTGCCCCCCCTGTTCCCGGGTCTATGGTTCTATGTATAATTGCGTAAGTTCGAAATTTCAGCTAGGTATCTCTAACAAATTCTGCGCGATCCAAAACAATAAAGGATGGGCGATGGCACCAATATGATTCATTAAGGCCGTGAACATAATGAGACGGTGAAAATATCTAAAGTGCTTTATTTTTCAAATTGAGTTTTATCTTCCTCAAATCGAATCTCTTCTTTTTCAAATTAAAATTCACTTATTTCAAATATAACTATCTTTTTCAAATTGAAGTGAATCTTTTGCATCTTTTTCAAACTGAACTCCAACTTTTTCCAAATTGAAGGAAAAAGGTGTAGTTCATGGTCATTCGACAGCTGATAGCTGGCTCCCGGAAGATGATGAAACGGTCTTCCCTCGACAATGCTATGTACCCTGGCACTCGCTGGTCAGTTGTAAAAACAATGGAGTATCCTCACGGGCCGATGAAGCGATGTTTTCTATTCACCGTCACCTGTCACCGAGGCCCGGGCCGGCGCGGATAACATATGTACAGATATGTTTTGTAGTCCCTGCCGTTCGATCTCGCCGCCTTACCAGCCCGTCCCGGACGGCGGTGTGTTTCAGACCGCAGCTGCGATGGCCTCGCTGGCGCTGCTGGGCGGCCTGGGCTCGGGACGCGCCGAGCTGACGCCGCCGCCGGCCGACGACGAGGAGCGGCTCGGCGAGCGCGAGCCGGCCAGCCCCGGCTACCCGGACAGCTCGGCCAGCCGCTCCGAGGACGGCAGCGGCTCCGAACGGCGACACACCGGCGAGTCCGGCTACGGATCCGCCAAAAAGCGCCGCAAACAGTCGTGTCCCGTGAAGCTGGGCTCAGGTGAGAGCGAGGACGGCGGCGGCGACGAGCCGGCCGCCGGCGGTCCGCTGCCGCTGCGCTGCCCCTACTGCCCGCTCGCCTTCCCCGGCGAGGCGCAGTTCAAATACCACATCGAGGTGGAGCATGTCAGAAGGATGGGGGTCGCCGACGCGGGCGCCGGGGAGAGCGCGATCTTCGGTCGCGAGCTGCCTCTGAACCTCTCCTCGGGTCAGAGACCGGACGGCAGTGCCGAGCAGGAGGGGCGGTATCCGGAGGTGGGCACCCCGAAATCAGAGGCCGGCATGCCGACGGCCATGCCGCTGCCGCCGTCCTTCCAAGACAAGTTCCCCGTGCCCAATTTTCTGCAGTTCGGACCTCCGCCGTTCCTGCTGTCGTTCCTCCAGCAGCAGACGGGCGTCGCGCCGGCCGCGCAGCCGCCGCCCGGCGGGGACGCGCCGCTGAAGATCTTCAACCCGGAGGCCTACTGCGAGCTGTGCAACAAGGAGTTCTGCAACAAGTACTTCCTGAAGACACACAAGGCCAATAAGCATGGCGTTTACAGCGACGCTCCGCCCAGCGCTGGCGGCGTGGGCAATGGAGTCGGTCACGTCGGCGGCGCCGGCGGAGGTCCGCGTCTGTCGCCCAGCGGCGACTCCCGCGACTCCGGCCGGCCCTCCAGTGAGGCGGACGCGCTGCGTCCTCCGGGCAGCGCTCACCCGGACACGTTCTGCGAGCCGTGTCAGAAGGAGTTCAGCGAGCCCTGCTACCTGCAGCGCCACCGGCAGCTGGTGCACGGCGCCGAGGCGGCGGCGCCCGGCGGCTCGCCGGCGCGGCCACCGGCCGACCCGTACGACAGCCGCCAGCTGCTGGAGGCGGCCCCGTCACCGTCCCTGCTGCAGCAGCTGGACGCCGCCCAGGTCGCCGACCACCAGACCGCCGTGCACCTCTTCATGGACAAGCTGGCGATGAACGGAGAAGCACCGCCGAAGAACTTATCCAAAGAGCAGCTACAGCAAATCGGGGTGAGAAACGTCGACGCGTTCTGCAACATCTGCTGGAAGGAGTTCTGCAACAAACATTTCCTGAAAATGCACAGGTACAAGATGCACGCCATGAGCTCACCGCCATCTCTTCCTCCACCCGTCGAGCGGGATCCGCAACCCGAGGGGGAACCAGATCAGGAGAGGGTCAACGGCACCGACCCGCAGCCCTGTCCTCCGCTGGAGCCACCAACGGAGTCCCAGCTCAACAACACAGACGGCATTGAATGTGAGCTCTGCACCAAGACGTTCCAAAGCGCCTATCTGCTGCAGATGCACCGGTATTACTTCCACGGCTCAGGTCAGCAGAACAGCCACACCACTTCGCCGCCGCAGCCGCTAGCGCCAGCGAACAGAGAGAAGCCGCGGTCCCCCGCAACGCCGAACAAGAAAGAACACTTCAGCGAAGATCTGAAGAAGCTTCAGGGTATGATCAAGGGTCTAAATGAAAAGAAGGGCAGTTCTGGTGTGACGTGCCACATATGTGCGAAAAGGATGGACAGCAAAAACGCGTTACATGCACATCTTATCCAGGAGCACGGTATGTTCAATAAAAAGGAAGAGCTGATCATTCCAAAACCACCTACTGCCCTCAATTCATCTAAACATCCGCTGATGAAAGACAACGATCAAGCCCCGGAATCACCGGGTCATAAAGGAGAGACGATTTGCAGTGTTTGCAATAAGGACTTCTATGCGAAGTTTTTCTTGCAACAGCATATGCAAACTGCCCATGGCATTCAAGCCCAAGCGCAGCCGATGAATGAAACCGCGTTCCTAGCAAGAATTCGCCTTGAAGTCGAGGGTCAAAAGAAGCTGGAAAGGCCCAAACCAGCGAGCACCAGCCGAAGCTACTGCGAAATTTGCAACAAAGAGCTCTGCAACAAGTACTTCATGAAAACTCACATGATCAAGATGCACGGCATAAACATGGACAACCATCAGAATCAGGCCGGCGTGAAGTGCGATGTTTGCGAAAAGGAGCTCTGCAGCAAATACTTCCTGAAGGTCCACAAGCAGAACACGCACGGCATCTACGTTCCCGACGACGACAAGTCGTCTCCGGACAACGACCCCGTTATCAAAGAGGAGGAGGGACTCGAGGTGTGCACGGTCTGCAGCGGGAAGTTCAAGACGGCCAAGCTGTTGGAGACACATATGGCCAGTGAGCATGGCGCGCCGAAAGAGAAGAAGAGCAAGAGCAGCTCGTCGCACAAGTCGGCTGCCCCACCCAGTATGGGCGCTCCGTGCAGCCTGTGCGGCCACTGTCTGCCGGACCTGCTCTCGCTGCGGCTGCACGTCATGCAGGTTCACCCGTTCCACGACCAGAAGCGCAGCGACAAGCCGGCGCTGAGCGGCGACGCCGCCGCCCTGGAGCAGTCCCAGCTCGGCGACAAGCTGCTGCGCCACCCGTTCGGCCCGCTGGCCGGCGCCTTCCCCCCGTTCCTGCCAGCCGAGCGGCTGATGGGCCTGCTGCCTCCCCTCGGCGCGCCGGCCGCGGCCCTCCTCGACTCTGCCGCAGACCCTCCGAGCGGGCAGCAGCCGCTGCTGCAGCTGCAGCCACAGCGACCGGCGCCGGGGCCCGCGCGCCGGCCGCCGGCCCACCGGCCGTACCGCTGCAAGCCGTGCGGCCTGCGGTTTCCGCAGCGGCACCACTACCTCAGCCACTGGCACCAGAAGCACGGCCACACGCGGCTGCCGTACGCCGCCAGCCTGCTGCGGGGCTACCTCAACCGAAACTACCGCTGCACGCGCTGCGGATTCAGCTCGCGACTGCGCGCGCTGGTGCGGCGTCACGTCCGGCGCCACCACCGGCGCGGCACCGACGGCCAGGCGGTGCCGCACCTGTACGCGCTGCCGCTGCCGCCGCCGGCCGGCGCCGCCGACGACTACACCATGCAGGCGTTCCTGGTGCAGCAGCCGGCCGCCGAGGCGCAGCAGTCACCGCTGCTGGCGCCCGCCTACGCCGTGCTGCCCGTCTTCAGGCGGCTGTGTGAGAAGACGGAGCTGAGGCTGACGCTGCTGCCCGCCTGAGCCGGCGGCCTCCGCTGGTAGGACAGCCACAGGCCAGAGGCGGCCTCCGCTGGTAGGACAGCCGCCGCCGCACAGGCCAGAGGCGGCCTCCGCTGGTAGGACAGCCGCCGCCGCGCAGGCCAGAGGCGGCCGACAGCCGCAAGTAAGGTGCGAGAGTTGGTGATTTGGCGGGTTTAAAGTCTGTTCAACGATCTCAGGGTGACTTCAGCTATTCCAGTATGCGTGTATTTGCAATGTGCCGGTGTGTTAGGTAGCTTGGGTGCTGTTACGCGGGTACTCGTGTAGTGTAGCTCCAGAGACGCATCCTGCGTCCCTGACACGTACAACCATCTACCTCCAATCTATCAGATACGATATTGAATACTGACCAATCGATATACGTACAGAACTAAGCCTAGACGCGATAGTCAATCAAACACCTACCCTACGTACATATAGTCGACCGTTTTTATAGTGAAGCTTGTTTTATATCTAGGTGCAACTGAAGTCGAAGACGAAATGCCTAAGTTTTGTCTGGAAGAACTCACATACATGAGTTTATAGGAAGTATTCGTAGATCAAGCTAGTTATCACTTGTTCAAATTTAACCATTTGCAGGGACAACCTGTGATGCTTCAAATTGTACCATACTTTACTTCTTACAGTGGCATATTTAGCAATAGCGAAAAAGACATTTATTCTTACACCTGACACCTCATCGGTTCACACTGCAAGTGAATGGACACGAAAGGAAAAGAAGTCCGGGTCGCCGTCTTACACAAACAAAATTGGAACATATCAAACAGCTATAACATGGTTATAACATGGTAGATAAACTTCCTAAAACAATTCACAGCTTTATGAAAGAGGAGGAATCGAAGAAATTCAACTTCGAACCACACAAGTTTAACTTAACAAAACTGTGCTACTGGCATCATCTGTATATTTGGATAGTCAGTTAGGCACCTGCACCATCCCGCTATAGCCGGCGGCCGCGCATCTACTGGAGGTGCGAGTTGAGTCAGCGTGTGTCCCGCGTCATGGACTGATCGATGAGCGGGAGCGGGGGCGGGGGCGGGGGCGGCCGATCCACTCGGTCCGGGCGGCACCAGGCGCCGAGCCGCCCGCTGCCGCTCGCGCCTTTTCAGGCCTCTTGAAGCCAATAACCAAAGCCGGTCGGATCGATGGCCAAAACATGTTGTGCGAACACGGGGCGGTGCGGCGGCCGGTGCGCCGGCGCAGCGCGCGTCCGGCCGCGCCGCCGCCACCCCGCCCGCCGCCCGCCGCCACGATTGCGCTGTGAACTGCCGCCAGCGAGGAAGATGGCGAATTTGAGCGCGTATTGATCGGGTCGAGCGAGCTGCGGCGGCGCCGGCGCGGCGGCCTCGGGGCGGCGGCGCCAGCGGCCGGGCCGCCCGAATTCGGAGCAGCCGTCCAGGCGGCCGGCGGCGCGCCTATTGATCGCCGGCCGGCCCGTCGGGTGGGGTGAGAAGTGGCCGTCGGTTTAACTGGCCGCCCGCCGGGTGGGGCCGGCCGGCCCGACCGCAGCGGCCCACGGGTCACCCGGCAATGCGCAGTGAGCTGGCTCACGGACCGACTGCGGGTTTGGAAACCATGGATTTCGAGCGTCAAGGAAGAGTGATATAAATGGAATGTAGCATAATAATAATTATAAGCAGCATAATGAAAGTATAATTGAAGCGTTTAAGCGCAATAATTTTCAATAGAGATCTTAAAGAAATTGCGGCACAAACATTGCAATGGGCGCATTTTGCCCCAAACCTCTATTTCTATTTTTAAAAAAAAGGACTCAATTGCCGGAGCCGAACAGTACTGTCCATAATCGGAGGAGCAAACACTGCGCAAAAAAGCTGAGCAGCGGACGGTGGACGTATCGGTCAAAAAAGACATCATTATTTTTAGCGCCATGTTACTAAGCGGCGCAAAGCCCGTGTAATGACGTGACGGGCAGGTGGGGTGCCGTCCTCCACAGCGGGCCAGTTCAATCGGCCACGGTCGGCTGCCGTGGGGCGGCGGGGCACCGGGCCGGGCCGGGGGCGGACACGGCAGGCGTCGCACACGGTCGGCTGTGTGAATAATGAGCCTCCGCGCGGCGGCCGTCAGCGCTCGTCCCCAGCGGACGCCGCCAGGTGTTCCAACTCGGCACGTGGCCCCGCCGCCGCCGCCGGGGCGGCACTTTAACCGACCGACCCGCACCCGTCACAGATTCATACTGACTGCCAAAAGTCAGACCACATAGCCAGCATCATATTTTACTAGTGTGATGTTTAATTTTTGTTTATATATACTTATTTATATTTAGGATACTTCGGCATGTTTTTACCCTAAAAAACCTACACGCTGCATAAATATAAAAATCAATAGGTACACCTTTGGCAAATTAGAACGGACACCAAAGACGGCACTTATCCTGTCAATAATGAAGACTGAGACGTTATTCGCCAACCAGCTCATGGCGAAATAGTCCGTAGGAGCTCACACAGCTGACAGTGTGGAAGCAGTACCGCCATCGCTCCTGGCCACATCAGTCGTGCCATTTCTCCCGTCCTCACGCTCGCCGGTATCCCGCACGGTTCGTCGGAAGGTCATCTCAGGCTCAAAAGAAACGATATGTACCATTCGAAAGCTGACGGTGAGCTGAATCCAAAAATGTAACTTTTATCAAAATCGATCGATGGCCTTTTTTGAAAATTGCGTTTTTGTAAAAACTTAATAATTTTTTATTCAACGGGCTGTCCTGGACATTCTTGAAAACATAAACATGTATTTTTGAGTTCCAGTGAAAGCTGAATGCCAAAAGAACAATATTTAGCGAAGCAACATTTCCAAATATTAATATGCGTCTCCCACAGCCAAAAATAAGGCGCAATCACACAGCTCAGTGTCACGATGGACCAAAGTCAGCCACACAGAAGCGTGAAATGACCCTTATCGACTCGCAGACCCGGCGCTCTAGGCCCGCCTGACCGGCCACGGAAAGAACGTTCGGCTCTCGTTCTACTAAACAAATGTCATATTTGTCAGTTTAACTGTCCACATCGCTATTAAAGTTATTCAGGATACCTGTGAAGAAAATTCATTGTTCTGTCATCTTCACATCATGCATTAATTTGCATTTGTTCATGTCTACTTTGATCAATTGAGCTTGGTATCATGCCCATATAAGGAAAATTGGCCGCGCTGAAATGTCAGAGGCTGCACCGGCCTCAGCTCGGGTGGAGTGGGGGTAGCGCCCGGCGGGGCAGGGTAACCTTTGACCGGTCGCACGGCCGAGCAGCTGTCACCAGTACAGCCTCTGACAGTGAAACCCCGCTCACTTCCCCTGCGCGGGCACTGATCGCAGCTGGATGGAACAAAACATGTATAAGAAAAATGTAAATTAAAGCATGTTGTAAATCGAGCAGAACAATGAATTTTCTTCACAGGTATCCTGAATAACTTTAATAGCGATGTGGACAGTTAAAGTGACAAATATGACATTTGTTTAGTAGAACGAGAGCCGAACGTTCTTTCCGTGACCGGTCAGGCGGGCCGAGAGCGCCGGGTCTGCGAGTCGATAAGGGTCATTTCAAGCTTCTGTTTGGTTGACTTTGGTCCATCGTGACACTGAGCTGTGTGATTGTGCCTTATTTTCGGCTGTGGGAGACGCATATTAATGTTTGGAAATATTGCTTCGCTAAATATTGTTCTTTTGGGGTTCAGCTTTCACTGGAACTCAAAAATACATGTTTATGTTTTCAAGAATGTCCGGGACAGCCCGTTGAATAAAAGATTATTAAGTTTTTACAAAAACGCAATTTTCAAAAAAGGCCATCGATCGATTTTGATAAAAAATACATTTTTGGATTCAGCTCACCGTCAGCTTTCGAATGGTATATAGGGGCATTCCACGTCAAATCGAACAAAAATCGGCTGTTTTGCACCTTACCATCAGCGATTTCATTATAAATTTGTGAGCGAGTTCCTGTGTCGCCCCAAACATTACATTGATGTTTTTTGCACATTTTGACCACAGGTCTTCTAAATATAGGGCATCGAATTTTTACAAAATGTTGCATCTTTATATTTTTGAACGACCATAACTTTGGTTGTACTTGGTTGATTTGAATGAAATAAACCTTACTGTTTAGGTAATTTCTTAAGCATTTGTTTAGAATTGTATCTACTTAAATATATGACCTTGAAGTTTGCTTAACTCTGTTCTTAAGCACAAAAATTGAAATAGCAAAAAACACGTCACCTTCGATCTGGCTAATTTTCATATATTTTATTGCCTACCATATTCTTAACAACCTGTGAAAAAATTAGAGTGGGCCATTCATAAGTTTTGAAGAAAATGGCACATATGCAAACGTATGTTAGCACGCGCAGTGGAGGGGGAAGAGTGAATTTCGCCCCACCCCTCCTGTTTTTCGCCAATATCTCATAGTATTAATGCGAAATTAATTATAGCTACCTGTCCAAAATTGAAGTGCACATCTCATCGTGCAAGCAAGAAGAAAATCGGTTCACAACTGTTCTAGTAATAGCGGTGTAAAGTGAAACATCCTGTCGCCGCGGCGACGCGGCGACTCGGCAGCCGGCGCCGACCGCTAGCCGCCGCCTGAATTGTAGACTGTGCCGGGACGGAACGGAACGGTTCCGTCTTTACATCGCGCTCCTTACCGCTGATTACGTTCAATTCGCGTCAAATTTTGTGAGAAGACTAAGAAATGTACAGGCAATCTTATGGTGTAAGAATTTTGAAAATCGGTTGGTAAACAATTGAAATATGAACGTGTAAACACAAAATTGTGATTGCTGCGTTTCCCGCGTCGGCCGATCCCGCCTCAGCCGGCGACATGTTACTCTTAGCAGGTCTCTAACTGGCATATTTATTATTGGATTAACTAGAAATTCCCCATACATACTCAAAAATGTATATTCTTTCGTATAGTGAAGATAAAAAGACGTGAAGATATCGTTGCGTGATAATGTTTTCGTTGAATTTTTGGCTTCATGTTGCAATTCCACACGGCTCAAAATTCACCGCAAAATACCGTTTGCCTAAGACACTTTTACTATGGAACTTGAATGCTTGACTACGATGACTATGTGTTTCCATTCTCGAAGAGTTTGGGATATCACTAATCAGCAATCATTCATTTCAGAAAGTGTACACAAGCAAGCATGTCTTGACTCTGTCTTTCAAGGTCACGCGCGGTTGCGTGATGTTGATGCATGAAAACGGCGTTTGCCGCGAGAGTTATGAATGGCCCACTCCAATTTTTGTCACAGATGGTTAGGAACATTGTGACGGACATAATATGTAAAAATTACCCGAATCGAAGTTGACGTGTTTTTTGCTGTTTAAATTTTTCTGTTTTAATTCAAGGTCAAATGCATTTCAAGGTCACTTCAATTTAATTTTATAATTAAGAATCAAAGCCTTATCAATTGCCTACAAGACCCTGTTAATATCATTTTGATACCAGAAAAGGATCCAGAGTTATAGACATTTAAAAAATTGATGTGTGGCATTTTTGGCTATATTCGATGACCTATATCTCAGCGATACTTTATCAAATTTCGAAAATATTATACGTAACTCAGTTTTGAACCATGCCCAGTCTGCCTACAAATTTTCAGAAAAATCGAAGGGGATGACGGATTTCGGTGTTTGATTTGACGTGGAATGCCCCTATACCGTTTCTTTTGAGCCTGAGATGACCTTCCGACGAACCGTGCCCGCACTCATAAGGCATCACTACTGCGCAGCTGACACCGAATTCAGAGACACAGGTGTTCAACGTTGCGTTAACGGAGTGCTTGGAACTAAATCGACACAAGACATCCCAGCTGAAAGGTACAACCATCTGCCTCCAAATCTATCGGATACCATACTGAAGATTGACCAATTGAAAATAAAATTGAAGCCATCAACAATGTTAGGACCATATCGGTTCGCCAGCATAGTTCAGTCACATTCGTTGCATTAAATTCGTGTCACGTAAAACTGCATTTCAATAGTAGACATTCATCATACCTAACCTAGCTAAAACATGTTAAAAAACCAACGCCCCGCAATAAGAAACAATGTGGTTTGTATTCAAACTGAAATATTGCATTATATGTACGTTAAGACCAATTACAGTCGCAACTGTCGGTTCCAGTTGTTCCCTCGCGCCGGGGACCGTTTTCGCGTACCGTGACGGCCCTGCCAGGCGCCGCCCGAGGCCGGGGGATAAATGTATTTCCGCCGATAATCAGCGACCGGGTTTCCCTGTTTTGCGCTCTCCCTCTCGCTGTCCCTCGATTTCCCCTAGAATATAACTCTCTTTGTCATTTCCGCCCTAGCATTGCGCCGCGACTCGGGGCCATGTGTTTGTGAAGTTTTAGCCGGGCGCAGCTGCGCAAACCGGAGCGAACGCAGCGGCACAATTAGAGTAATTTGCATATGCGCGACAGCTGATTTATTTTGTCGCCACCTTTGTGTTCCCCTTCAAAATTCCACATTTCCCCTAAAAATGCACGAGCGGTTTCGTATGGAAATGAGCGCGGGCGCGCTCGAGACGCGTCTGGCGCGTCTGTCGGCCGGGTGCAGGGCGCGTGTGACCGGGGGCTGTCTGACGAGCGCTGCCGAGCGCGACGGCGACACACAGCCGCCGCACGTGCGGCGCGCGCGCCGCTTTTCAGACCCGCCAAAGCTGTCACACGGTAGCGCCAGGTCCCAGGCGCCAACAGAGTTCCGCTGACATTGTCCGTCTCAGATGAGACTTATATAGCCTTGGATGAGACGTAGGATCCGATTCCTTAACAAAAGACGGATTAAGTCTTACCACTTTGACTTTTGGAAACGGCAATGCTTTTAATACTTACGACATACAAAATGCCTTTTGACTTGTTCGGCTCTTCAGTCGACATACCTTTTAGTTTTTACTGAATATTCCCCCACACCCATCCCAAAGAAGTCAAGACGATCGAGTCTTTTTTAACTCTTTAGTTTTTGAAACATTTCACAAAAGACTGCTGCTGTATCTTGAAACACCGATAGATTCACAAAAGAGAAATTAGCAATTGGTGGGACTAAACGGATGTATAACTCAGAACAACCAATATTGCTCAAAATCATAGGCAGAAATGCTTGAAATGAGCAACACTTTCAATTTGAAATTTGCCTCCTCGCTTATTGTAACAAACTATCCAAAACGGATTGCGAACAAAGCTATTCTAATGCAAATCGCAACTAAGGCAGTAAAAATTTGAAAACTTTAATTCAATTATGACATCTAATCTAACGGTACATATAACAGCGTCGACGTTCATTAACACTTTTTATGGAACATAGGTATGCATTGTCATTCAAATCAAACGCCAACTCCCGAGATTTAAAAAGAAAGAAGGATAATTAACTATTTCACGACTCAATCCCTGGGAATCATTATTATTTGAAAGCTACCACGTTTAGGGCCTTGGCTACCGCGTGTCCGTCATACATCTCCCATCCTTTACAATGCCCCCAGCACCTGCAAATAAGTCCGAAACAGAATTGATCGCTGCTGCCAATCTCCGAGGAGCGGCGGC